TGGCGGTGTGTCCACTCACAGGATGAGTGGCGCTGTCCAATACTGTCACTATGGCGGTGTGTCCACTCTCAGGATGAGTGGCGCTGCCCAATACTGTCACTATGGCGGTGTGTCCACTCTCAGGATGAGTGGCGCTGCCCAATACTGTCACTATGGCGGTGTGTTCACTCACAGGATGAGTGGCGCTGCCCAATACTGTCACTATGGCGGTGTGTCCACTCACAGGATGAGTGGTGCTGCCCAATACTGTCACTATGGCGGTGTGTCCACTCTCAGGATGAGTGGCGCTGCCCAATACTGTCACTATGGCGGTGTGTCCACTCACAGGATGAGTGGTGCTGCCCAATACTGTCACTATGGCGGTGTGTCCACTCACAGGATGAGTGGCGCTGCCCAATACTTCCACTATGGCGGTGTGTCCACTCTCAGGATGAGTGGCGCTGCCCAATACTTCCACTATTGCGGTGTGTCCACTCACAGGATGAGTGGCGCTGCCCAATACTTCCACTATGGCAGTGTGTCCACTCTCAGGATGAGTGACGCTGCCCAATACTGTCACTATGGCGGTGTGTCCACTCACAGGATGAGTGGCGCTGCCCAATACTGTCACTATGGCGGTGTCCACTCACAGGATGAGTGGTGCTGCCCAATACTGTCACTATGGCGGTGTGTCCACTCTCAGGATGAGTGGCCCTGCCCAATACTGTCACTATGGCGGTGTTTCCACTCCCAGGATGAGTGGCGCTGCCCAATACTATCACTATAGCGGTGTGTCCACTCTCAGGATGAGTGACGCTGCCCAATACTGTCACTATGGCGGTGTGTCTACTCACAGGATGAGTGACGCTGCCCAATACTGTCACTATGGCGGTGTGTGTCCACTCACAGGATGAGTGGTGCTGCCCAATACTGTCACTATGGCGGTGTGTCCACTCTCAGGATGAGTGGTGCTGCCCAATACTGTCACTATGGCGGTGTGTCCACTCTCAGGATGAGTGGCGCTGCCCTATACTGTCACTATGGCGGTGTGTCCACTCTCAGGATTAGTGGCGCTGCCCAATACTGTCACTATGGCGGTGTGTCCACTTTCAGGATGAGTGGCGCTGCCCAATACTGTCACTATGGCGGTGTGTTCACTCACAGGATGAGTGGCGCTGCCCAATACTGTCACTATGGCGGTGTGTCCACTCACAGGATGAGTGGTGCTGCCCAATACTGTCACTATGGCGGTGTGTCCACTCTCAGGATGAGTGGCGCTGCCCAATACTGTCACTATGGCGGTGTGTTCACTCACAGGATGAGTGGCGCTGCCCAATACTGTCACTATGGCGGTGTGTCCACTCACAGGATGAGTGGTGCTGCTCAATACTGTCACTATGGCGGTGTGTCCACTCACAGGATGAGTGGCGCTGCCCAATACTTCCACTATGGCGGTGTGTCCACTCTCAGGATGAGTGGCGCTGCCCAATACTTCCACTATGGCGGTGTGTCCACTCTCAGGATGAGTGACGCTGCCCAATACTGTCACTATGGCGGTGTGTCCACTCACAGGATGAGTGGCGCTGCCCAATACTGTCACTATGGCGGTGTCCACTCACAGGATGAGTGGCGCTGCCCAATACTGTCACTATGGCGGTGTGTCCACTCTCAGGATGAGTGGCCCTGCCCAATACTGTCACTATGGTGGTGTGTCCACTCCCAGGATGAGTGGCGCTGCCCAATACTTCCACTATGGCGGTGTGTCCACTCTCAGGATGAGTGGCGCTGCCCAATACTTCCACTATGGCGGTGTGTCCACTCTCAGGATGAGTGACGCTGCCCAATACTGTCACTATGGCGGTGTGTCCACTCACAGGATGAGTGGCGCTGCCCAATACTGTCACTATGGCGGTGTCCACTCACAGGATGAGTGGCGCTGCCCAATACTGTCACTATGGCGGTGTGTCCACTCTCAGGATGAGTGGCCCTGCCCAATACTGTCACTATGGTGGTGTGTCCACTCCCAGGATGAGTGGCGGTGCCCAATACTATCACTATAGCGGTGTGTCCACTCTCAGGATGAGTGACGCTGCCCAATACTGTCACTATGGCGGTGTGTCTACTCACAGGATGAGTGGCGCTGCCCAATACTGTCACTATGGCGGTGTGTCCACTCTCAGGATGAGTGACGCTGCCCAATACTGTCACTATGGCGGTGTGTCCACTCACAGGATGAGTGGCGCTGCCCAACACTGTCACTATGGCGGTGTATCCACTCTCAGGATGAGTGGTGCTGCCCAATACTGTCACTATGGTGGTGTTTCCACTCACAGGATGAGTGGCGCTGCCCAATACTGTTACTATGGTAGTGTGTCCACTCTCAGGATGAGTGGCGCTGCCCTATACTGTCACTATGGCGGTGTGTCCACTCTCAGGATGAGTGGCGCTGTCCAATACTGTCACTATGGCGGTGTGTCCACTCTCAGGATGAGTGGCGCTGCCCTATACTGTCACTATGGCGGTGTGTCCACTCACAGGATGAGTGGCGCTGTCCAATACTGTCACTATGGCGGTGTGTCCACTCTCAGGATGAGTGGCGCTGCCCAATACTGTCACTATGGCGGTGTGTCCACTCTCAGGATGAGTGGCGCTGCCCAATACTGTCACTATGGCGGTGTGTTCACTCACAGGATGAGTGGCGCTGCCCAATACTGTCACTATGGCGGTGTGTTCACTCACAGGATGAGTGGCGCTGCCCAATACTGTCACTATGGCGGTGTGTGTCCACTCACAGGATGAGTGGTGCTGCCCAATACTGTCACTATGGCGGTGTGTCCACTCTCAGGATGAGTGGTGCTGCCCAATACTGTCACTATGGCGGTGTGTCCACTCTCAGGATGAGTGGCGCTGCCCTATACTGTCACTATGGCGGTGTGTCCACTCACAGGATGAGTGGCGCTGTCCAATACTGTCACTATGGCGGTGTGTCCACTCTCAGGATGAGTGGCGCTGCCCAATACTGTCACTATGGCGGTGTGTCCACTTTCAGGATGAGTGGCGCTGCCCAATACTGTCACTATGGCGGTGTGTTCACTCACAGGATGAATGGCGCTGCCCAATACTGTCACTATGGCGGTGTGTCCACTCACAGGATGAGTGGTGCTGCCCAATACTGTCACTATGGCGGTGTGTCCACTCTCAGGATGAGTGGCGCTGCCCAATACTGTCACTATGGCGGTGTGTTCACTCACAGGATGAGTGGCGCTGCCCAATACTGTCACTATGGCGGTGTGTCCACTCACAGGATGAGTGGTGCTGCTCAATACTGTCACTATGGCGGTGTGTCCACTCACAGGATGAGTGGCGCTGCCCAATACTTCCACTATGGCGGTGTGTCCACTCTCAGGATGAGTGGCGCTGCCCAATACTTCCACTATGGCGGTGTGTCCACTCACAGGATGAGTGGCGCTGCTCAATACTTCCACTATGGCGGTGTGTCCACTCTCAGGATGAGTGACGCTGCCCAATACTGTCACTATGGCGGTGTGTCCACTCACAGGATGAGTGGCGCTGCCCAATACTGTCACTATGGCGGTGTCCACTCACAGGATGAGTGGCGCTGCCCAATACTGTCACTATGGCGGTGTGTCTACTCACAGGATGAGTGGCGCTGCCCAATACTGTCACTATGGCGGTGTGTCCACTCTCAGGATGAGTGACGCTGCCCAATACTGTCACTATGGCGGTGTGTCCACTCACAGGATGAGTGGCGCTGCCCAACACTGTCACTATGGCGGTGTATCCACTCTCAGGATGAGTGGTGCTGCCCAATACTGTCACTATGGTGGTGTTTCCACTCACAGGATGAGTGGCGCTGCCCAATACTGTTACTATGGTGGTGTGTCCACTCTCAGGATGAGTGGCGCTGCCCTATACTGTCACTATGGCGGTGTGTCCACTCTCAGGATGAGTGGCGCTGTCCAATACTGTCACTATGGCGGTGTGTCCACTCTCAGGATGAGTGGCGCTGCCCTATACTGTCACTATGGCGGTGTGTCCACTCACAGGATGAGTGGCGCTGTCCAATACTGTCACTATGGCGGTGTGTCCACTCTCAGGATGAGTGGCGCTGCCCAATACTGTCACTATGGCGGTGTGTCCACTCTCAGGATGAGTGGCGCTGCCCAATACTGTCACTATGGCGGTGTGTTCACTCACAGGATGAGTGGCGCTGCCCAATACTGTCACTATGGCGGTGTGTCCACTCACAGGATGAGTGGTGCTGCCCAATACTGTCACTATGGCGGTGTGTCCACTCTCAGGATGAGTGGCGCTGCCCAATACTGTCACTATGGCGGTGTGTTCACTCTCAGGATGAGTGGCGCTGCCCAATACTGTCACTATGGCGGTGTGTCCACTCACAGGATGAGTGGCGCTGCCCAATACTGTCACTATGGCGGTGTGTCCACTCACAGGATGAGTGGCGCTGCCCAATACTGTCACTATGGCGGTGTGTCCACTCTCAGGATGAGTGGCGCTGCCCAATACTGTCACTATGACGGTGTGTCCACTCACAGGATGAGTGGCGCTGCCCAATACTGTTACTATGGTGGTGTGTCCACTCACAGGATGAGTGACGCTGCCCAATAACCTCGCCCCTCGGGGCAAAATTTAAGAATTTATGGAGGTGGAAGAGCGGGTGGAGGGCGGGTGGCGGAGAGGAGGGCGGGTGGTCGTGGCACAGCAACTGACGTGGAGGTGACGTGGGGTGTTGTGGAGGCTGTGCTGATAACACTGAAGGAGGTGGGTGGGGGGAGGGGACGCCTCATCAGAAACCAGCACACGTAACAAGGCAGTGATGACCCCACAGTGAAGGTAAGTAAAGCAAGGTAAGGTAGTATGACTGACCTATTTGCTCACCTGCAAACACCCTCCCGCTCCTCGACCTTAATAGGGAAGGAGCGGGGGAGGGGGGTCGTGGGAACTGGAGAACGGGGGGGTGGGGGGTGTAGGGAAGGCTCACAAGGGTAATTCATTATCAGCTCTCAATACGAGGCGACGGTGGGGAGCACAAGACAGCCAGCCGGGCCGCCCGCCACACCACCACAACCAGGTCAGACCAGTTGCTCATTTGAAATATATTTGGGTAGTAGTAATTAGTCGCAGTTGGCTCACACTCGATAGGATCCGAGTTCGATTCCCGGCTGAGCGAGTCCTTTGGCCAGGGGTTCCTAACACCTGGCGACTGTTCACCTGGCAGTGAAGTGGTGCCAGGGTACGTGGTGCCAGGGTACGTGGTGCCAGGGTACGTGGTGCCAGGGAACGTGTAGTTGGTGACACGGGTGATGGTGTGTGTGACGGGTGACACATGGGTGATGGTGTGTGTGACGGGTGACACGGGTGATGGTGTGTGTGACGGGTGACACGTGAGTGATGGTGTGGCTGACGGGTGACACGGGTGATGGTGTGTGTGACGGGTGACACGTGGGTGATGGTGTGTGTGACGGGTGACACGGGTGATGGTGTGTGTGACGGGTGACACGTGGGTGATGGTGTGGCTGACGGGTGACACGTGGGTGATGGTGTGTGTGTGTGACGGGTGACACGTGGGTGATGGTGTGGCTGACGGGTGACACGTGGGTGATGGTGTGTGTGACGGGTGACACGTGGGTGATGGTGTGTGTGTGACGGGTGACACGTGGGTGATGGTGTGTGTGACGGGTGACACGGGTGATGGTGTGTGTGACGGGTGACACGTGGGTGATGGTGTATGTGACGGGTGACACGGGTGATGGTGTGTGTGGCGGGTGACACGTGGGTGATGGTGTGTGTGACGGGTGACACGTGGGTGATGGTGTGTGTGACGGGTGACACGTGGGTGATGGTGTGGCTGACGGGTGACACGTGGGTGATGGTGTGTGTGACGGATGACACGTGGGTGATGGTGTGTGTGACGGGTGACACGTGGGTGATGGTGTGTGTGACGGATGACACGTGGGTGATGGTGTGTGTGACGGGTGACACGTGGGTGATGGTGTGTGTGACGGGTGACACGTGGGTGATGGTGTGGCTGACGGGTGACACGAGGGTGATGGTGTGTGTGACGGGTGACACGTGGGAGATGGTGTGTGTGATGGGTGACACGTGGGTGATGGTGTGTCTGACGGGCGACACGAGGGTGATGGTGTGTGTGACGGGTGACACGAGGGTGATGGTGTGTGTGACGGGTGACACGTGGGTGATGGTGTGGCTGACGGGTGACACGTGGGTGATGGTGTGTGTGACGGGTGACACGTGGGTGATGGTGTGGCTGACGGGTGACACGTGGGTGATGCTGTGTGTGATGAGTGACACGTAGGTAATGGTGTGGCTGACGGGTGACACGTGGGTGATGGTGTGTGTGACGGGTGACACGTGGGTGAGAGTGTGGCTGACACGTGGGTGATGGTGTGGCTGACGGGTGACACGTGGGTGATGGTGTGTGTGACGGGTGACACGTGGGTGATGGTGTGTGTGACGGGTGACATGTGGGTGATGGTGTGACTGACGGGTGACACGAGGGTGATGGTGTGTGTGACGGGTGACACGTGGGTGATGGTGTGGCTGACGGGTGACACGTGGGTGATGGTGTGTGTGACGGGTGACACGTGGGTGAGGGTGTGGCTGACGGGTGACACGTGGGTGATGCTGTGTGTGACGGGTGACACGTGGGTGATGGTGTGGCTGACGGGTGACACGTGGGTGATGGTGTGTGTGACGGGTGACACGTGGGTGAGGGTGTGGCTGACGGGTGACACGTGGGTGATGGTGTGTGTGACGGGTGACACGTGGGTGGTGGTGTGTGTGACGGGTGACACGTGGGTGATGGTGTGGCTGACGGGTGACACGTGGGTGATGCTGTGGCTGACGGGTGACACGTCGGTGATGGTGTGGCTGACGGGTGACACGTGGGTGATGGTGTGTGTGTGATGGGTGACACGTGGGTGATGGTGTGGCTGACGGGTGACACGTGGGTGATGGTGTGCGTGTGATGGGCGACACGTGGGTGATGCTGTGGCTGACGGGTAACACGTGAGTGATGGTGTGGCTGACGGGTGACACGGGTGATGGTGTGTGTGACGGGTGACACGTGGGTGATGGTGTGTGTGACGGGTGACACGGGTGATGGTGTGTGTGACTGGTGACACGTGGGTGATGGTGTGGCTGACGGGTGACACGTGGGTGATGCTGTGTGTGACGGGTGACACGTGGGTGATGGTGTGGCTGACGGGTGACACGTGGGTGATGGTGTGTGTGACGGGTGACACGTGGGTGAGGGTGTGGCTGACGGGTGACACGTGGGTGATGGTGTGTGTGACGGGTGACACGTGGGTGGTAGTGTGTGTGACGGGTGACACGTGGGTGATGGTGTGGCTGACGGGTGACACGTGGGTGATGCTGTGGCTGACGGGTGACACGTCGGTGATGGTGTGGCTGACGGGTGACACGTGGGTGATGGTGTGTGTGTGATGGGTGACACGTGGGTGATGGTGTGGCTGACGGGTGACACGTGGGTGATGGTGTGCGTGTGATGGGCGACACGTGGGTGATGCTGTGGCTGACGGGTGACACGTGAGTGATGGTGTGGCTGACGGGTGACACGGGTGATGGTGTGTGTGACGGGTGACACGTGGGTGATGGTGTGTGTGACGGGTGACACGGGTGATGGTGTGTGTGACGGGTGACACGTGGGAGATGGTGTGGCTGACGGGTGACACGTGGGTGGTGTGTGTGTGTGACGGGTGACACGTGGGTGATGGTGTGGCTGACGGGTGACACGTGAGTGATGGTGTGGCTGACGGGTGACACGTGGGTGATGGTGTGGCTGACGGGTGACACGTGGGTGATGGTGTGTGTGACGGGTGACACGTGGGTGATGGTGTGTGTGTGACGGGTGACACGTGGGTGATGGTGTGTGTGACGGGTGACACGGGTGATGGTGTGTGTGACGGGTGACACGTGGGTGATGGTGTATGTGACGGGTGACACGGGTGATGGTGTGTGTGGCGGGTGACACGTGGGTGATGGTGTGTGTGACGGGTGACACGTGGGTGATGGTGTGTGTGACGGGTGACACGTGGGTGATGGTGTGGCTGACGGGTGACACGTGGGTGATGGTGTGTGTGACGGATGACACGTGGGTGATGGTGTGTGTGACGGGTGACACGTGGGTGATGGTGTGTGTGACGGATGACACGTGGGTGATGGTGTGTGTGACGGGTGACACGTGGGTGATGGTGTGTGTGACGGGTGACACGTGGGTGATGGTGTGGCTGACGGGTGACACGAGGGTGATGGTGTGTGTGACGGGTGACACGTGGGTGATGGTGTGTGTGATGGGTGACACGTGGGTGATGGTGTGGCTGACGGGTGACACGAGGGTGATGGTGTGTGTGACGGGTGACACGAGGGTGATGGTGTGTGTGACGGGTGACACGTGGGTGATGGTGTGGCTGACGGGTGACACGTGGGTGATGGTGTGTGTGACGGGTGACACGTGGGTGATGGTGTGGCTGACGGGTGACACGTGGGTGATGCTGTGTGTGATGGGTGACACGTAGGTAATGGTGTGGCTGACGGGTGACACGTGGGTGATGGTGTGTGTGACGGGTGACACGTGGGTGAGAGTGTGGCTGACGGGTGACACGTGGGTGATGGTGTGGCTGACGGGTGACACGTGGGTGATGGTGTGTGTGACGGGTGACACGTGGGTGATGGTGTGTGTGACGGGTGACATGTGGGTGATGATGTGACTGACGGGTGACACGAGGGTGATGGTGTGTGTGACGGGTGACACGTGGGTGATGGTGTGGCTGACGGGTGACACGTGGGTGATGGTGTGTGTGACGGGTGACACGTGGGTGATGGTGTGTGTGACGGGTGACACGTGGGTGATGCTGTGTGTGACGGGTGACACGTGGGTGATGGTGTGGCTGACGGGTGACACGTGGGTGATGGTGTGTGTGACGGGTGACACGTGGGTGAGGGTGTGGCTGATGGGTGACACGTGGGTGATGGTGTGTGTGACGGGTGACACGTGGGTGGTAGTGTGTGTGACGGGTGACACGTGGGTGATGGTGTGGCTGACGGGTGACACGAGGGTGATGCTGTGGCTGACGGGTGACACGTCGGTGATGGTGTGGCTAACGGGTGACACGTGGGTGATGGTGTGTGTGTGATGGGTGACACGTGGGTGATGGTGTGGCTTACGGGTGACACGTGGGTGATGGTGTGCGTGTGATGGGCGACACGTGGGTGATGCTGTGGCTGACGGGTAACACGTGGGGGATGGTGTGGCTGACGGGTGACACGTGGGTGATGGTGTGTCTGACGGGTGACACGTGGGTGATGCTGTGGCTGACGGGTGACACGTGGGTGATGGTGTGTGTGACGGGTGACAAGTGAGTGATGGTGTGTGTGACGGGTGACACGTGGGTGATGGTGTGTGTGACGGGTGACACGTGGGTGATGGTGTGTGTGTGATGGGTGACACGTGGGTGATGGTGTGGCTGACGGGTGACACGTGGGTGATAGTGTGTGTGACGGGTGACACGTGGGTGATGGTGTGTGTGACGGGTGACACGTGGGTGGTGTGTGTGACGGGTGACACGTGGGTGATGGTGTGTGTGACGGGTGACACGTGGGTGATGGTGTGTGTGACGGGTGACACGTGGGTGATGGTGTGTGTGACGGGTGACACGTGGGTGATGGTGTGTGTGACGGGTGACACGTGGGTGATGGTGTGTGTGACGGGTGACACGTGGGTGATGGTGTGTGTGACGGGTGACACGTGGGTGATGGTGTGTGTGACGGGTGACACGTGGGTGATGGTGTGTGTGACGGGTGACACGTGGGTGATGCTGTGTGTGACGGGTGACACGTGGGTGATGGTGTGTGTGACGGGTGACACGTGGGTGATGGTGTGTGTGACGGGTGACACGTGGGTGATGGTGTGTGTGACGGGTGACACGTGGGTGATGGTGTGTGTGACGGGTGACACGTGGGTGATGGTGTGTGTGACGGGTGACACGTGGGTGATGCTGTGTGTGACGGGTGACACGTGGGTGATGGTGT